GGCTAAAACTTAAAGATTTGTCTAATTCTGGCCTAAATTACATGTATTTTTTTTACATAAAAAATCCAAAAACAGGGGGGGGGGTATGTTAAACGAAACATTGAATTGGTGCGGCCTTATCGTCACTGTTTATTCACGTGTTCATGCATAATGCCGTAACGCCGGCCCTTTGCTAAATTTTTGTCGGTGTGACTGGGGTAATTGTTAAAATCAATAGATAATACAGTAGTCACTTTTTCTATCATAGTTAGATAATATTATTTTGAACTTAAAATTTCAGATGACAAATTCTACATTCTAAGCCATAAGTTACTTATTTAGTACGTGATTTATTTTGTTCAGCTGTGTCATAAAGATCTTCATGTGACTTACAAGTTACAAATTTACTGCGCTCTAAAATTTATAAGTCGCAATAAGATTGGGAACAAACATTAAAAATTTTTTTCTATACAATAATTTGGTCTTCTTTTAAACCAAAAATATATTAAATATGATTCTGATAATTTTGATAATATCCGTTGTGAGTCTCACTTTACACAATAATTTCTGGAATTTTTATTGTAAAATTGAAAGTACATATGTTTTACAATCAGTTTTGGTTTAAAGTTTCTATAATATGTATAATAAATCAATGTGAATTAGTTATATTATTTGAAAAATGTAAAAAATAGACAAATTTTATAAAAATTATCAGTTTAAAAATATTATAGATGTTGTTTTATTTACATTTTGTTTTATTGAAGTATACTTGCTTTCTAATAAACATACTAAAATTATTGCGACTACTTTGTGTTGAATAATTTAAGTTTCGTGAACGTAGATTTTTATTCAACTTATTAGTCTATCGGGTGATTTTTGGTGTTACATGGAAAATGTAAATTACAGTTAATGCAAAGTACTTGCTGCAGTTAATCTTTTTCTTCATTATTTATTTAAATTAATTCTAGTCAACAATTTAACTTAATTACCTTAAAATTCAAGATAATCAGTATTTATTGATTGATTAGTAATACGTTTATTAATTATTAATTGTTTAAATTTTTTTCAGTAGGTCGCACCCACGTTCTGAAATGGATCGGGTACTATTATGCTGCGGATAATCGGTAAGTTATTCCACAAAAAAAATTTATGATAATATTTATTTATAAACATGATCTATTAGTTATCGTATAAAAATCCAATCGCGCATAATTTAAGTTTAGATCTGTCTACAATTACCAAATTTATTCAAAATATAACTAAACGTGGTTTAACACTTTGCATAAATTTTAGGGGTTCATAAAATTTGTTGTTACAGTATATTTTTTTTCGAAATTCTTTTTTTTTTTAACCATTCCTTCATTTGATGAAAAACAATAATTGATTACAAATTTCTTATTGGTACAGATTTAATTTTTTAGGTGAAAAATATTTATAAAGTATAAATGTCGCGAAAAATGATTTTTTTTAATAATAAAGTATTAAAATATGTATATATATAAACTTTATTCAATACAATACATATAATATTAAACTTTTTTTTAATTTCCTCTTTTTTCTTTTACTTTTTTTTCTGACTCGAATTTTTAATTTAATTATTTTTTGAATGGAGTATTCATATAATTTTCACTTCCGTTACGCTTCGGAAAATAAGATCTAACTGCTAATATTTCCTTTAATGTAACGTAGTTTGTATTATTTTATATTTAAATTATAATAAAGAGATGCATATGTGTCAAAATCGGTTAACAAATAGGGCGGGATAAAGAGCTCGACAACCTATAAAAAATTTAGAATTATTTCTTCAAATTAACTTCAATCACGATAAAAAAAAGATACATCGAATATATGCATATTTATTATTTTTAATTGCTAAAAGTTTTGTATTTACTGTAAGATTTGTTTCTTTGCAATTAACAAATTAATGTTCATAACATTAAATATTATTATTCTGCCTATTTTGTCTGGCTATTAAAAAGATTCTTTTTTGGCATCGGTGAAGGTGAAGACGGATCCTCGAACTCCTCACGCTTCATTGGATTGATATTACGCGCTTTTTTGCCAATAGGCTTTTTGGGAGATTGTTAATGTGACAAATATATGTTTTCAATTCCGATTTTTTGGATATAATTGAATTGCAATTGTGTGGCTTCTTTAAATTCTCAAGTACATCAACAATGTCATTTAAAACTTTTTGTAAAAAAAAAAAAAGATCAGAAATGAGATACTTCAGATACTTCACAAAAAAAATATGAACTTACACCGAAATTCCATAATATTGGTAGTGCGTGCAAAAGTTCATGATGATCTTCCCAGCTGATCGGGAACCGAAAAGCACCAAGGAGAAACATACGATAAACTTTCTTAACGGTCCATTCCCCAAACTTGAACGTCTTGTCCTATTAGTAAACAAAGACACTTGATTTAACAGTTATTTGGAAGTTATAACTCGAATGTTCACATTTTACTTACCACGCGTATGAAGGAACCATGCACGAAGCTGACTTATATCTTATAATCACCAAATGCAAGCTTCGTTGCAATGTTATTGAGAAGATCTCGCATACCCCAGCAACAACGAACATTATCTTTTAGATATCGAGGAATATCATTAGTATTATTTCCACAGACAATTCTATCATCCCAAATTCGAATGGCTTGTTATCAGCAGACTGAAAAACTCCATCAATCTTAAGACCTAGTGGATTACCATCTTCCGGCTTAAGTTCATGCCGAATTAAGCGCTGATTTGCGCTTGCTTGAAGGTAGAATTAGCCTCTATTTGAAAGAAAGCTTTTAATTATTACAAGCAAATAAAAAAATGATATACATATTGAATGGTTGGTTTATAAAGTTCAAAAGAATGAAGAGGAAATTAATATCAAATCTATTGAAAATATGAAATTAAATGATGTAAAAAAATATTTTGTATAACACTTAATATTTACTGAAAATTATAATTTATTTGCCTGTTTATTCAATCATTTTACTTTTTAGTTATATATCATTAATTAGTAAAATTAATGAAATCAATTTTTAGATATTACTTATAATTTTATGTTCATGGGAAAAATATTAGAATTTGTTGTGCTTTGATTTCAAAAACATATTGAACTACTTACTAAACTTCAAGAAGAATTTTCATTGAAAAAAATAATCAAAAAACATTACAGTTTACATCAAAAAAGAAACTAACCTGTGCGTTAACAAAAATTTTACGTGGACTAATGTAATCATTTGATATTTATTCATGAGGGTTTCATAGATATTTTTATAAAAAATTATTTTCATTAAAAAGCTTATTTAGCTTATTTGTGTGGTTACAGATCTAAATTCTAAATTGGGTTAGATGTTCATTTAAATCCCAACTGATTTATAAAGGGTCCCCTTTTTTATTACAGTTAACGCTCAAGCTTGTTATAGTGAATTTAGCTTATGGTGAACTTTTTTATTCCTCCAGTTCACTTACTAATAGATCTTATCCGTTATAGTAAATTTACTAATTATAAACATTCTAAACACAAAATTAATATTGGTATTTCACTCTATTATTGATAATTGAATTACAACAATGAACATATTATGAAATGCCAATAGAACAATTATCAGATAAAGAAATTATAAGTAGAATAATTCTATATCCTGAATATGATAATACAAAAGAGAATGAAAAAATCATAAATAATACTACTATTAATAAAGAAGCGTGAGTAATTTAGAAAATAATTCATTGGTTTAAAATCTACTAAATACAAGAATTGGAAATCTAGTAAGAGTTAACATATTATTTATTGATAAAAAAAATATAATAAAAATAAATAAATATATATATATATATATAATGTTTTTTCATCATAATTAAATAACATAATAATTTAACAAATAAAAAAAAAATTTATAAGTTATGTTCCTTACAAAATTTAATAGCTGCTTCATAATTATTATAAGTAGCTAATTTCATATAATATTTAGCTTTTTCTATATCTTTTGTACAACCAAAACCATCATAATACATACTTCCAGCGTTATACATTGCTACTTTAAAATCATCTTCAGCAGCTTTTTCAAAATATTTAAGAGCTTCTGAAAATTTT